ACACACACACACACACACACACACACACACACACACACATACACCCAAACCCTCTCACTCACCTATAACCACATTTCCACGGGGGAATTAACCATCAATGGCTCCTCAGTGTGAATGTGCATGTGTGAGTCTAGGAGTGTGTGTGCGAGAAAGAGAGAGAGGCAGAGAGAGTAACCTGTGCTTGCCAGTAGCAGCTGCAGCTCTTAGCTTTTAGGGGACAGGCTATCATTTCCAGTTCTTCCCCTTCACATTTCATACAAGCTGAAAGAGATTTAGTGATTGTACAGATTTAATTTTAAGTATGAAAAAAGGAGATTAACAGTGTTTTTATCCCATCATTATACTGTTAGAGTTCAGCGATTTCAGGCATTTAAATATTCCCGTAACATGCTTGGTGCAACATTAAATGTATCCAGCAACAGAACACTGACAGATGCCAAATGATCTTATCTATAAAAATGAGCCAACATTATAAATATGACTCAAAGTTGGGATTAGAATTCAATCCAACCACAAAATGTGACTACCCCGAAGGATAGCGGCTCCAGTTTGCATATTATAGAGAATATTTCATTTTTTAAAATTTAATTTCAAAGCTGTTCTGCCCATTAAACCCGACTCTGGATCTCTAACTACATAATGACCTGGTTGCTACGCCTCTGTAATGCTGACCTGCTGACAACTTCAATTAAACTGCTTACATCACTTTTGCTAAAGCCCTGCTAGCCCTGCCATTTTACCAGCAATCAAATGAGAACTTGGAAAACCTGTGCAGAAAAGTTAAACAAAAGCATGCCACGGTTTTCACATGATATCTGATTGCAGTCAGTTGCAGCAGCAACTGCTGTTCAAAAGTTGAATACCACGACAAATCATCCCCGAATGTGACAAAGGAGGGGTCAAAGAAGACGCCTGCTCGTCAGCACGCAGAAAGCACGTCTCCACAGTTCACTTGAGCAGTGGCGACACATTTTTAAGTGCCACGATTCACATGATTTGTTCGGCTCAGTGAGCTTTTCACAGACTATATCTCGCTAAGTGGCTGATCAGAAGCGCTTACACACACTAACAAATGCGCTCGTGTAAACAAAGACAAAAGCAAGATGTGTGAGCAGCAGATTTTAATCTCTGGCTTCCATTTGTGAAGTTTATCACTTTATTCCTGCAGACTCTTAACAAGAACCTAGCAGGGCATGTTCAGTCAGCACAGCTCGGCCAACAGCGGGCACACAAAGAAGCACATATCTTTCTGCTCTGTCATGCAGTCACACAGAGTTGGATTATTAAGGTCACATTATGAGAGGATAAGAATAAAAAGAGAGGGAGACAGAGAGAGAGAGGGATATTCCTCTAATTTCTTCCAGGGGCTTGTGAACCATATGTTCAGCCCTGGGACACAATACACAACATGAGGGACTCAGCGAGAGCCCAGAAACATACCCGACACACCAACACATGGAAAGCAGGCTGCAAATTGTGTGCGGGGGTCAGGCATGTGGAGGAAGTGCACCATTACTGGCAAACTGGCACAGTTCAATGGTAAAAACGAGGAGCCGAGTTGAGCTTAATGCAGAGCTTCGGATCACACGCGTTTGTGTTCAGCTAGATATCATTCAGCTGAAAGCCTATTGACGAACTGTCTAATGATGTTAGGGCTCTTTATTTCACAGGACGTAAATGACATGAATGACAGCAGTGCAGGTTTACTTTTCAGAAGCGTGTGCTGCTGATGCATTCTAGATCCCATTAAAGCCCATTAAGGGAGATTTACTATCACTGTGGACAGGTTAAAAACTGTCAGTCACACAACAGCTGAAAAGCTTCCTATAATGATGTTAGATTAAAAGATAGATAGCATCTGTTTTAGCACAGCAGCAGTAGTACAAGTACTAGGCGGGAGGAGCACCGAGATTTAGCTTTACAGATATTTTAACTCTTCAGTTTGGGGGCAGAACATATTTCATCTGACATCTTAATTAGTGAGCTTCAGAAATCAGTGTTAGTGTCAGGCAGTGCTACATAAAGGGTTTCCAAATTTCCAGCCTTTGTGCATAGCATGACTAACTGGCTGCTATGGTACGGTTTCAGATTTAAGATAAACCAGTCTTCTAGCTTTCTGACAGAAGGCGTATTTTCCAAAAATGTCAATCCATCTCCTTTAATTGCTCAAAGAAATCACATAAATGCACATAATTCCCGGATTCGCAGCCACTTCTAGTTTTAAAGTTTAAAATTAAAAGTATGCCAAGCACATCCAGAAGATTCAGAGGTAAAGTGAAAAACAGAGAGTGAGCACTGAAGCAAAGGAACAATCCCCTGAGATCTCTGTAAGAAAGAAAGAGGTGGATGATGGAGAAAGCACAGGCAGAGAGAGAGAGAAAAGGAGGAGGAGAGAGAGTTTGCCTCCAGTCTCGGCACAGAGGAGGATCAAAGGTTTGTGCTCTGCATCTCAATGGACATTCGGTCACCAATACTGATGAGCTCGGGCGTGTGGTGCTCCATTCACAGGGTTTATCTCTTATGGGTAAACAAGCGGTCAATGCATGCAAATAAATGAGCATCTTGACTGCACAGTTACACTTCATAGTGGTTCAAATTCAGTTAAAAAAAAAAAAAAAGGTTAAATTAACCCCAAAAAAGAAAAAAAAGCCCAAGAGGGTAAGGAAACGTTGGGATTTTTGACATTTTTTGGTGTTGAGGACACTACTTTGATCTTCACTCGAGGCATTTATTGCAGCAGAGGTACTGTATTGCTTTAATAAAATTTAAAACCTTTATACATCTCTCATGTTTGATCCCTGAATATATATATTTTTTATCATTAGTCATGTTATAGAGTGTAACTATTACTTTATTCCTTGAAGGCAATATGTACCCGATTAAAAGTTGCAACAATAATTAACTCAGTTCCGACTGTTTTTTTGTTTTTGTTATTTGTGGCAATTGTGCCAAGTTTAAAGTACGACATGCTTTTCATATTATATTCAGTGTGTTTACCGACATCATTCTGAAAGGTGTTTACTTTGCATCTTCTTGGTGCAGCTGTGGTTTGTGCACGCACCCTTGACAGTTTCTGTGCTACACAGTCCAACACATTCATTTTTTAGCTGCTACAGTAACAGCGGGATATTTAGAAATGCAGTGCACAGCATGAAATTGTGACTGTACTTTGCACACAAACTGTGAAGACAGTTTGCCAAACTAGCCACTGCATAAGCCTGGTAAACATGACTTTGAATATGAACCAACTGTGGGAGCATTTTCGATAGCTTTGCAGTTTGTGCCGGTTGGGGGTATAAAAACCATATTTGTAGCAGCGCTAATCGCCCAAGACACCATCGATATCAAATGGGTTATAATGTGTTTAATTTTACATCAAATATTGCTGCAATGACTTTATTTATTTACTTGGAATTCTTATTCGAATTGCATTACAACCAAATATCATCAGTTTTTGCTCTCCATAAATATATAAACTCACAAAAACTTCCACTTTAAGCTGATTGCAAGGTGGAGGGAAAAGTAATGCCACATGAATTTATATGCCTGTGGTGTACTGTACTTCTTCTTTGACCTTCTCCCCTTAAGACAACTTGATGGAAACAGCGCATTCGCTGCTTCTTTAATGATCAAACAATTCGTCCGGAATTATGGACAGCATTTATTCTTTGTACGCCATCAAATGCAGACTTTGTTAATGTGGCTGTACGCCATAAACTGCCCACGCATCCTGGTAAAATTGGAAAGGCACAAACATATCTTCCTCAGTTATGAAAGTCATATCTGTAAATAAACATAGGAGCATCATGGACTGTCTAAGGAGCCGTGCTTTCGTTTTATTGAGAAAGAATCCAGGAGCTGTTCCTGCCCAAGCAATGTTTTCTGTTTTTATAAAGTCCTACTTATCAGGTGCCATCAAAACAAGTGTGTATGTTTTAAATGATGATTTAACGCTACCAATGGAGAACAGTGCCATAAACAATTTAATTAAAGAAAGAACAGGCTGTGTAAAATTTCACACTGCAAATAATTCAGATTCAATTGACTCGACATATTAAAACATAAATAAATTGATAAATAAAAATGGGGAAAACAATGGTTCTTCATAAGAATGCTCCAGTCTCTACATAGAGTCTGCGTTTTTTTAATGTTCTTGAGAATTAGCACATATTCTCTTACAGTAATGAAGATTTCAGCATTACCTTTTATTTGTGTGTGTTTGTGTATCGCAGATGGTTGTAAATCCTCTGATGAAACGCTCGTGACCTCCAATGGGATTCTGGTCCCTTTAACTTGAGAGCCTATTAATTGTCTGCAATTATCCTTTGAAAGCGTGGCATCTGTCAGAAGTATCTCTTCTCTTCCCTCATGGATAGAAATGCCATAGTGGTAAAGGTTGACTGCGACATTCACCATTTATTGCACAGTAGGATTTGTACAGTCAATCTTTTGCCATTACAGGGCTAAAAAAATGTCTCTTGCTCTCTTTTTTTGCCAAAGAACATCTTACTTTTCTCAAAACAACATCAACTTGCATACAGACAGCTGATGAAGACGGTACCGTCTGGATTCTACTGATGGACAAAACTAAATCATGGGACATTTGTAAACTAGCCTGTTTGATTACTTTGTATTTAAAATGTGCTGTTTGTAACATTGGGGAGTCATCCATAATTCCCTTGGTGCATTCAAAATCTTTAAAGTTTAGTGCAAATTTGAGGAAACAAAAATACAGAAATCAAACAAACAAAGGACCTTATAAGGCAACAATTATAAATATATCAAAAATAGTCATTAGAGAACTATCTTTGTTACAAAAATGGTACAAAAGTTTTGTCCTGTACCAGTGAGAGGGACATATTTTTCAGTTCCTCCACTGATTTCACAGCCTTGTATCCAAGCTGGTGAAGTACTTTTTGACACACAGTCTGTGTGTATTCCACCATATCAAAAGATAGTTTTAAGCGCCAGCTCTCTGCATTAGCTGCTGAGTCCCTCACCGTACCAAACTTGTGTTTTGCTGAAGGCTCATTGCTGCCCCGAGTGTTTGCATGTATCCAGTCTTCCACATTTTTATCCATAGGCAGCCCCAGAAAGTCATAGATCTCCTTTGTCTTAAGAAGAGGATTTTTCGCTAAATCCTCATATCGAACCAACATGTATTTCCCTTTCAGCCAGTAAGGATGGGTGAGACCAGTTGAAACAGAGCTGAGAAAGTCTTGACAGACAACCGTGAGCTGACTCAAGTCAAGATTATAGGGCCTTCTCCCTGTGGCCCGCCAAATACGCCACAGACGATATGTATCCCTAAATGTCTCAATCCGTGATGACAGGATACCGCGTGGGTCTCTGACGAGCTGAATCACTTTGATATTCAGACGTGGATCTTCAACCAAAGCACGCAGATCTCCAATCTCCGGCACTCGAACAATTTTGATTGCGACATGCCGCTTCTCGCGGCAGGCCTCTGTGGCTAAGGTCATATTGAGGGTTGCACATTTCTTAACACAGTCCCCTTCCTCCACATTAACATCAGCAGGCCCAAAGGCATCACATACAGGTTGCTGGCACAATGCGCGGCTGGCACCACGACGGAACAGTTTGTCTGTGGTGTGGTTCGTAGGTGTTGGCTTGATATAGCTCTCTAAGAAATACAGGTCACAACCGTACAGGCTACGCAGAAGGTCTCGACTGGCCCCCAACATCACACGGCGATCGGCAGCATTGCGGCTATGTGATAGACGTGGAATCAGCGTGGTCTGAACGTGATAAAGAGGTTCAAACAGATAGAAAACCTCTTGGTGCTGGTTGAGCAGCTGGCCAACGAAGGAGGATCCGCTACGCGTGGTGGCCAGGACCAATATGTGCGTTTTTCGTGTGGCATTGATGGAAAAGTAAGGGTAGTCATCACAGCCTCCACCACCTGCTGTCCCCCGCTCAAAGGGAGGTTCGGTCTCCTGGCCCCCCAGGCCACAGTTTTGGGGGCTGGGCAACGGGCACAGCTGAAAAGGCTTGGAGGTGAGTGTTCGGATGGCCGTGTACTGGATGGCAATGGAGGCCAAGGCCAGCAGAATCACTGCCTTCCAGGAACATTGCATGGCTGAACCACTTCATTTAGACACAGCGGTCCATGCCAGGTCCTCCCTGTGAACAAAGAATCTTTTTATTCTAGAAAGGATTTTCTGTATGGCATTGTAAATGTGCAAAAGCCCTCTGATGTTCGTCTGTCTCTTTTTTAATCAAACACAATACTACATGGCAGATCACTTAAACATACAGATTTACAGCGTGCTGTCTATAGATGTATAAGATGGTAATGTAATGAAGTATATTACAATGAAATCTAATTTGAATATCACTATTAACAGCAGTACAACCTGCACTCCAGTTGATTTCGCTATTAAATCTTATGATTATGGCTCAGACAGAATTTCTTTTAGGGCTGTTGTTTAGAGCTTCAACATGAATTATCAAATATAATCCAACCCTTTTTCTTTTTGCATATGTAGCATAATTAAGGAAACTGTAACCTTTTGGTCCTAGAACCACAAAGAAAATACTGCTTGCGATGTGCTCATTTGACCCAACGATGACTCATTCCTAATCCTTCCGTTTGCCTCCTCTTTCTTGCTGCAGTTTAATTTTTGAAAATGAAAAAGCTTTTTTTAAAAGGTCTGAACTCATTATTTTCATTCCAGTTCTATCTGTTCCCAAAACACACAAAGCAGTCTGAAAGCCCAGACTACAGTATTTATATATGATGATCTTCTCTTTGTTTAAATAACATTAAAAAAAACAGCTTGTTCGAGTTGTGTATTTGTTGTTATTGGTTTATAAAAGTTATAGTCTTATAATAAGGCACACAACTCACTTCACCAAGTACTGCAGCACTTCCCATGCATCCTCCCTAATCTCTGTGTCTGTTCTATCATATCTGCATCTAATTCCCGGACCTTGTTTGGGCTGATTGGAGAATCTAAGCATTGCCCTTGTTGGAAAAGACAAAACAGTCTTATATAGCCAGCACAGACATGTAAACAATACTTTCAAGATTTACTGCCAATGTCATGTCAAGGGGAACTGGTGATAGAACTGAAAGTAATACTGAATGTATTAATAAGAATCTGTCACATTAAGGTTTTACCTTTTAAGATACATTGTGATGGACTTGTGCATTGGCATGGGGAACTTAAACAAAAATAAAGACTAACCATCACCACTTCAGAAGCCATGCATGCATGAGAGTCTTGCCTCAGAAGCAGGATGTGGAGGAAAGACATTAAAATAGCAAGTCGAATTAAAATCACCCCCCCCATTAAATGAAAAATAAGACGTATGTTATTCCAATGCACTGACACACTAGAGCTCTCTGCTTGTGTGCAGGGGCTGGAAATAATGACAGCTTACTGTTATACTCTTAACTGTAAAAAACTGCTTTCTCTGACCACCGATTTCAACATGACACGACTCATGCTTGCAGAGAGCACCGGCGCTTTCTTTTCATAGACATTTTAAATTAAAAAAAAAGGGCCCAGTACACTGCAGCGGGAACAGGTTTGGCTTACTGAGATTTTCTGCGATGCAGACATCCTTACCAACGCTGCGCGATAAGGACAATATAGAACAAAACAGCCATCCCACCCAGCCCCAAGTGTTCAAAAATAACCATAGGTGTAAAAGAAATGTCGTGTTAATGTTCAGATTTTAGCGAGATAAAGTAATATTATGGAGTGCGTTCACACTTGTTTCCTTATACCTTGTTGGTAGTTGTAGTATTCTCATGATGTTCTGTGTGCCAATGAATCCCGGCTGGTTTCCATTAGTCCTCAAAACGTTTTCCACTGTGCGCTTCTTCTCGGTCAGGGGAGCATAAATGCGCCACTCACAAGCGTATATTCCATCCAACGCTGGAGCGTCGCTTTTAAGTTGAACGACTGGCTTCAGATAAACAAGAACAAACTGGGAGGGAAAAGTGCTGGATTAACGCTAAGGCGGCTGTGGTGTTTCTAAGAAGCCAGGCGGTGAAGACAACCGGGCTCTCCTTAAATGATGCGCAGAGGCTGAGTGTGTGAGGTACACAAGGACCGACTGTCTGGACCACCCCAAACCCCTCCCCTTTCCACCTGCCTCTCTCTTTCGCTCTCTCTCTCTCTCCCTAACACACACATGCACACACCCAACCTTATAGACGCAACACACACAATCGCCTTTCACGCCGCCAAATTGGTAGCAAGTTCATTATGATTCTATCAGCCATGTCATTTAAATTACATATGTAATAGACTGGTTTTATCATGATATTCATCATGAGTCAGAGTTAGGTACACAATGAAACTGTGGTGTTGGAATTCAGTCGATTTTTTGTAAACTGGTGTAATGCAAACAATGTTAAACCAATTAAAAGGGCGAATCACTTTATTACCAAATAAAGAAATACTACCTATCAAAGCTTTTCTGAAAAAAATGATGCGTGTGATTGACTTGTTATGCCTGCAGCTGCCAGAAGGGGGAGCTCTGGCCAAGATGCCTCATTCTCAAAGCAGCTGCTGAAAGAGCATCATGGTGTTGGTGCAACTTTAATAAATTATCCCCTATTTCAGGAATGAAATGAGTATTTATGTTCTTAAACTATTGGAAACATACTGGCTGAATATTAGGAATGTTTTGAAAACTTTATTTAGGTTTTTGTGACTGCTAGCATGTTGTTAAACAGCTAACTAAGCCAAGTCCTCCGCTGGGTCGTAGCACAGAATGTCATAGGCAATAATATGTACAAAACATACTCTGTGCTTTTTGATTGTTTTGTGTTCAGACACACATAAAGGGTGCAAGGTTTCCAATGTGTGTGTGCCTGAATGGGGCTTATTATCTTTTACTATTTTTCTATGTAATTGATGTGTTTTTAGTTTGTTTATACTAGCTTTTTTTAAGAAAAAGAGGGGGAAAATAGAAAGAATAAGTTGACGTTATTTTAAAGTTTCATGATCTTATCTTTATTTATAGACTATTTTCATACGTTTTTACTTGCTATATTTGATTTCACCTAAATAAAAGTAAAAAAGGGTACATGACACCATACACTGTATGATGTTTACTTATTTCCGACAGAGAAAGTTAAAGGAAAGAAAAAAAGATTACTATTGTCCTGGAGCTGCAGAATTAAATGTGCAACACTGTTAAAATTTTCCAAAGTGAGAGAAGTTTTGTATGTGTGTAAATATTTCTAAACATAACCTTTGTCAATAAAGCTGCTGAAAAACAGGCATTGTGTCTGAGGATCTTCATGGATTTATTCCATTTTCAGGGTCTAATAAATGCAAATATTTGATTAGCATGGAATTACATATTTGAACCTTGTCTTTTGTTCTTGAGCTTTATGGAACTCCTCAGGTTTGTTTAGTTCACTTATTGTTGTTTTGTTGAGCTTTGTTGAGCTGAGAACTTTTCCTGCCGGTGCTCAGAAAATAACAAGCTGAACATCCTTAAAACAAACAAACTCATCATGTACTCCAGGAGGCAAAGACAGGTCCACTCTTCTCTCTTTATAAATGGAAAACAGGTGGAATCTCTTTTCACCTTCAGGTTTCTGGGCACCCACATTTCTGATGATCCCACTTGGACTTACAACACCAATCCCCTGGTAAAGAAGCAGCTGTCCTGAGGAAGAATAACGTGGACCAGAAGCTGCTGCTGGCCTTCTACTCAGTGGAGAGCATGCTCTACTGCCTGGGTGATTGGTACACAGGGGCCACTACTGAGAACAGGAAGGCTACAGAAAGGGTAATTAACATCGCCCCCCAAATCATTGGGTGCCCTCTGCCACCCCTGGAGGCTATCGCCAGATCCTCCTGTTTCAGGAAATCCAGGGCCATAATAGGTGACCCCTTGCACCCCACCCACCACCTGTTTGACCCGCTGCCCTCTGGTCGGTGCCTCGGATCAATCAGGTCCAACACCTTCAGACTCACTAACAGCTTCTTCCCCTGGGCCATTCGGCCTGTTAACAAACACTATTCCCCCACACCCCACCAGTGCCAACCCACCTCACCAGTCTGAGCCATGGTCTGAGTAACTCCTATCACTCATATGGACTATTCAGACCAAACCTTTTCTTTCCACTGCTTCCAAGCACTTATAATGTGTGCCTTTCTCTTACGTTTTCATATATCCCTCTTGTTTGTATGCATTTCTCTTGTTTGCTATTTATTCCTGCCACCTTAATATGTTATTCCAGCACAGTTGGTGTGCAGCACCCACAATTTTGCTATACATGTACAATGACAATAAAGGGCTTTTCTATTCTATTCTATTCTATTCTATTCTATTCTATTCTACATGTCAAATTCTGGCTAAAATTATTTATGAAAAAAGAAGTTTGCCTTTGACATAAATTTGTCACATCAGCGTTACTGCCTGGGGCTCTGTGATTTTGCAAAGCTCTGTCTCCAGGGTATCTGCATTCCACTTGATAAAGAACTGGGTGTGGAGATAATGAACATGATATGAGTTTAAAAAGAGCACAGTGGGTGTTAAAAGGAAGCAGATCTGAAAAACTGTGAAAGAAACATTGAAAATAATAATGAAAAAAAAGTGAATATTGTTAATGAAAGGACTTCAGGAAGGAGGCTACTGCCACCCAATTAAAAATGAGGGCACTTTTTGAAAGTTTGCTGCCTGAATGTTCAACACTATGTCTGGGACAAAGTATTCCTCCCCATTACTGACCAAGTTTTATAAGCACCTACAGGGAACATCCACTGGATAATTTCACTGCTACTGTTGTTGTGAAATGTCCAAATTCACAAGTTTACTTTGGGTTTTTCCAGTCTGCACAGTGACCAGTTATTTGGCTTTTACAAAAAAGACTGTGTGTGTTAATAGTGTAGACTGTCTTTATGTACAATTTGACTTGAATGAGAATTTAATGTCATAAATCTTGGTAATATTAGAAGCTGTTTTGTTTTTGTTTGATTTTTTAACTTCATGTTACCTCAAAGTGGGTCAGTGAGGGATGGAGCCTAAACCAGCATTAGGTGAGATGCCATTGCCAGGTCATCACAGGGATAATGTAGAATATCAGTGTTATGGTCACATTCACACATTACATGGACCAGTCTTCAATTAGGGGTTGACCTTTACATGAACATTTCTGTTAAACACACAGTCTTTAGACAGTCTTGAGATTTTTGCATAACAATTATAAAATATTCATTATCAGTTGCTTGGATCTATGGTAAATGGCCTGTATTTATATAACGCTTTACTAGTCCCTAAGGACCACAAAGCGCTTTACATATCCAGTCATCCACCCATTCACACACTGGTGATGGCAAGCTACATTGTAGCCACAGCCACCCTGGGGCGCACTGACAGAGGCGAGGCTGCCGGACAATGGCGCCACCGGGCCCTCTGACCACCACCAGTAGGCAACGGGTGAAGTGTCTTGCCCAAGGACACAACGACTGAGACCGTCCAAGCCGGGGCTCGAACCGGCAACCTTTCGATTACAAGGCAAACTCCCAACTCTTGAGCCACGATCGCCAGGATCTAAGCATCTAAATATCATCTAAGCATGAACAGAACAGAAATAAAATATCTATTTTATATTTTCCTTTTCAAAATAAAATCAAACACATGCACATAAACGTGGAACACAAGTCCAGCAATTGTGATCCAGTAATGGCAACACGGCAGACAAGGCTGGACTACATCATGAGGGGACTATCTTTAAGTAATAAAACTATATTTTATTTATGGTTCTAGTAAACACACTATTGGGATCATGGCTCGAGGGGAATTGGTTTCACATTTTGCTGAAAGATGACACTGAGGTAATTAAAATATCTAAAGTGGCATTGTGCCAGAGACACAAAGATTTACCCTGAGATGCTGGAGACCTTAGATGTTAATGAGCTGTCACTGCAGATATCTTCCAAATTAAATTTTTACATAGATGTGAAAAAGATGAAAAAAAAAATGCCTTCATTCATAAACTGCACAAAAGGTTGATTAACAGCGACTCCTGAAATGACAGATATGAGTTTTTGTCCACTTTGAATGGAAGAAGATGTGACAGTGGCACAAGTTAAACACGGGACTTCCGCTGTGTTGGACCACTACTGGAAATCAGAATTTAGGTTAAAATATATTAATTCATTGTAATTATGTTAATAAGGGACACACACACACACACACACACACACACACACACACACACACACACACACACACACACACACACACACACACACACACACACACAAACAAAACTTTAATCAAGCAATCTAACAATGTGCGTCTTGTCTTTCTGATGAGGTTAGGCCGTGTCAAAGCAACCTTTTCATTTTTTATTTTAAACTACAGTGAGAATTACACACATTACAAATCTCCAACTTTTATGACTTCTGATTTTTCAGGTATTCAGTGAACAGATTCAGTAAAGTGTGTGCATTTAATTCATCAAAAATGAAACAACCACATTTGAAAAATAAAACCTATACACGGTTTAGCTTAACATAGCTCCATCAATTGCATTTACACGAGAAAGCTCTGAATCATTTACTATAATAAAAAAAAAAAAAATGAAAATTTAAATACAGAAAAACTTAATATATATTTCTAATTAACGTAAACAGACTGTATTGAAATGAAATCCCATGATATGGTAGTAGGTTAGTATATTATATTATCAAAAAATGCATGGGAATATGAATTCCATATGTTAGTATATACAAAATAGTTTGTGCAGAAACTTTGCATTTGATCCTGTTTTATCCTTTAGAATAAAACAAGAAATGTACATACTTTGTATTTATTTATGTTGGCAAAAACACTCATCTTCCCTAATGGTTACAACTATTTACCATCTAAAGCAATCATTTGCTCCAGCAGGTCTTTGATTTCGTCTCTCTCTGTGCATGTTTGTGGTCACATTTATTTGCCCTTTATTGGATGCTCTGTAAAGCTTTTCTTGTATTGTCTCAATCTTATAGATGAAAGCCCCCTGCATGTGCTTAAATCTGTGCACAGGGAGGCGAGGGAAGCAGCAGCTATACAGCTCTGATTCC